GCCGATGCACGGCGGGTGTGCAATACATAGCTTTACAACAATATATGTACTTATTGGTCCGAACCAATTTGTGATCGGTGCCACACTCAGCTTCACTCAGTACACGTGTCATGCGCACTTCACACATATCACGCTGACGTACGATGATATAGTCGAGCAGGTGAGCGTGACCACTCCGTGGGTGAGTCCAATTTGTTATATCACTCGCACTCAGTGCAAACCGAGTGTTCGTGATCGTCAGGCCGTGAGTGGCACACAGTGAGAGCAGTCTGTCACCGTTCGCATTCGCTGAACCATTACCATCCGAACCCATAACATCTGTCCACCCCGATGCATCACGCCCAAAGCGCGCGTTGAAATCACCCAGCAGCAATAGTCGGTCGCTCTTCGACAAAGACCGTATCACGGAGGATAGCTAAGTGTAGAATTGATCACGCGTGTCATCAGGATAACACATGATCGGACCGTAAGTGCTTATAAAGGTGGTAAACTTACCTCTTCCGAGTCGGAAGCGAACAGTCATCAGTCGCACGCTGATTCCTGTTGGTTCATCCACGAGCTGGCCATGGAGACAATCGCATATTGCAAATCCAACCCCATGTACACGTGGTGTTGAGGCGGCGTTGCCCACCCAGTAGAATGTGTAGCCAACACCTGCTTCTTGCAACTTACCTTGCTCAGCTAGCCAGGTTTCACCGAGTGCAGCAATATCGATGTGTTAGCGTGCCAGTTCCATTGCGACGAGTGCAGTGCGTTGTTCCGGGCGCTCGCTGGAGTTCCGGTCCAGTAGTGTGCGCACGTTCCAGCACCCGATGCTGAGTGCTTTCCGCGCAGGCATACGATTGCATTGGTGGGCAATCGCACATGAGGTGGTCATTGTGCTTCGGAGTTTTGCTTGACGGACTCCGCCCGGAGCCTTCAGCTCAATAGCCTGACCCACAAGGCAGTGGAGAGCGGATCCAGTTCAGGAATGTGATTGCAGAGACAGATTGGGATCTGCTTGACGGCCGTCACACGCAGCCTTTGTGGTATTGGAACGATTCTTATATGTTTTGCGACCGTAGTAGGATACGCACCTGCCAACACGGCCTGACGCACGTGGGTTTTGGCGAGTTTGCACCGATTTGACCAGGGGCTGCCTTGCTTGAGGCGGGAAGTAGCAAACCATTGAACACCAGGAAGTGTCCTCCCACCGTCAGATAAAATGCGTGACGCTCGTGCTCTACGCCAATCGAGCTGTGAGCTTATAACTCGTAGACCTGTTGTCTCCAATGTCTAGGTTTTACGGGAAGAGGACCATCCACCAGTTCATAACTCCGAAGAAGATGGACTAGGATACTGACAGGGCGCCCACAGCTGCCAGGAGAACGGCTCGGGTCCTCAGCCAAAGCCTTCGATTAAATGTACACCCGAAAGACAGCGGGTCTAGCACATGGTCAGTTCACTGACTCATGTGGATTGGTGTCTTGGAGCTTAGCAGAGAGAAGGGCGAAATCTAACTCCCACCCAGCGGTCGCCACGAGGAGGCGTCCAGGACATGAGCCAATGGCGCAACAGTAGCAGCAGTGTGTACATCATCTGTCAGGATCCAGCCACCATCAGCCCCAGCGCACCATAGGCTCTCCCGCCACTTTCAGGCATACCAGACATGGAAAGCGCTTCCAACTCAGGTCATTTTGTTCATACATTAACGCTTTCCAGCAGACTTCCTGACGCCCCACTACCTCAGTTGTGTTACGAGAGTTGGTCCATTTCAATCAAAAGATGAAGTAGCTCGAATCTAAATATGTGCCCACTAGTCCTCTTCGTAAGGAAATGGCGATGCAGCCTGCATTATTGTTTACGTGATGTGCCATCTGAAAGCCGGATTTTTCTTTTTTTGAAATAATGTATCTCTAATTTTATAATCCCCCTTCAGTCATCTTCCGGGACTTGTCAATCATTCGCTACGTTATCCCCTACAATGCCTTGTTTGCAAATGTGCAGTGGGAGAGTTAAGTGGTACCAGTAGAAGGTTTTTGCATCTAAGCACAGTCAGATAGCCGCCATACATCCGGAAAAGCACCGCACAGCTGTTTCGCCCCTTCGGCAATTATCAGCATGGAGAATTCCATATGGCCTCAGTGGTGCTCGAGCTCGCAACCCGACTGTTGGTTAGTCCCTTTTGCTACCGTGCGATAGAAACGATGGCCGTGACTAAGTTAATAGAAGTTGCATAGCGGCGCTCACTATCCATGGCTTGCACCTCCCTACTGTACGGACCAAACTGCTTACCTTACCCCCAGTTATTTGATTGTTACGTTTCTTAAGTTCATCGCATGGTGAGCGTGGACTGCTTGTCCAATCCACGGTAGTAAAGTGCAAGTCTTTAGATATTGAACGGTTATATATAACGCCTATTAATTTAGGTACGGTGGTCGTTATCATCCCCCGTTGCTCGGTGCTCTAAACCACGAGGTAGACAGCATTCGGATGGCGGATTCAAGTCCCGTAGGGTCAGATGAAATGCGCACTGCGGAAGATTCCCAAAAGGATGAAAGCGCGTGAAGTACTTTTTCGGTCGTGTAATGGCTATGCGACTAAGCCTGTATATAATAAACTTTGACTTAAGAGGGGTTTTCACAAAGAAACCGCACGTTTACTACAACATTTTTATTGCTTATTGCACGACATTTTACTCACTTTCCCCTCAAAGTAGTCCATCTTACTAGCAATACAACGTTCTCAAAGGTGCTTCCATTTCTGGTAGGTCTCCTGGAAAGCAAGCTCTAGGATAGTGCGCAGGTCACTTGTCGCATTGTCCTGAATCTCATCAATGGTTTAGAAAGGACGTCCTTTCAACGTGGTTTAAAGATTGGGAAACAAGAAGTAGTCCGCAGGGGAGAATACTGTGGATGGTGCACAAAGAGAGTGTGCTGTTTTCTGAATAGCTGCGGAAAAGAAGCGACGCGTAAGCCGGCACATCATTATAAAGCAACATCCAAGTCTGATTTTCCCACAGTTCAGGCCTCATGCTGTTCACATCATCTCACAAACGCGCTGAAATTTGACGTCAAGGTCTAACGCTGGTGCCCACTTCGTCAGCAACTTTGCAAACAGTTAAACGACGAGTTCCACCGAACACAGCAAGAAGTTCCTCGACACCGGCATCGTCTGTTGTTGTCGAAGGTCGTTCGGGCTTGGGATCGTCACCGACAAACATTCTACAGTGTTCAAAACACTTAAGCCACTCATAGCACTGCGTGGGTCTCATACAATCCACCCTGTGTGTTTTGCTAAGCAACTAACATGTCTCTTTGGGCGTTTTGCTAAGTTTGTAGCATAACTTCACAGACACACGTTTTTCTTCAAGCCACTTTATTGTATCCTTGTCACTAACCAGACGGACAGATTGTGCAGGTCCTCACATCAGCGACTGTAGCTCCTCAATCAACAGTCAGAGTGAAATGTAGTAAATGAATGTTTGTTGTCTAAGTAAACCTCTCCATTAGTTCAGTAGCTGCAGCGCGCTCCCTTTGCAGGTTGTCTCCTATTTCAAAGGTTTCGTTTCTTTTTTGAATACCCCTCGTATACCAACGTAATCTTTAGTATTTACTTGTAAGTATATTGCTTGACGATTATAGCCTTCATGCCTAATTGGCTTAGTCAGCTTACCCGCAATAAGTTTGCCGAGGTAAATTAACCTTCAGCAACATGATCCATTTCTATAAACAGGACAATAAGAAGCATGATAGGTTTATGAAGAAAAAAGATCTTTGGAAACTGAAATGACCCACAAGGTATTCGTTGAAACAGACGGGTGCAAAGTATGATAGTGCAATGCATAACACTTATTTTGTTTATCTACTGATACATGAGGCTGTACTTCGTTAGTGTATTGATGTTTATTAAATTTGTGTAAAAATCAAGGACATTCAGTTCGTAGACTAATTCGAGGCAATTTTTGGCCGTTCAACAAAAGGGTAGCCCATTGACAGGTCTCATTAATAAAGAACATGATCATACCTAAAATCTTTTGGTCTCTATGCAAGATCTAGCTTGTCCACTTTTGTTCAATACAAGCATACAATGTGTGGAGTATAAAAAGCGCTTAAGCAATGAAGAACGAATGGGGACGAATGATGTAGTAATACTTAAAAACCAGAAATAAATGAATGAGCTGTTTTTAAAGGATGCAGCTTTGTTATTGTTAAGGATAACCGAAGCATAGGCAAACGAAGAATGTGATATATAAATTAAACTACAAATGATTCATGTTGCTCATGCGCAAAGTAAGCTAACTTATATAAGCACAGGTTCGTAACTATAGAAATGCTATATGTTGTAAGCCTGATTCGGAAAATGCATATTGACGCCATTACGCAACATGAAATGATTGCATATATCGAGGGGAACTAAAACCAATAAAATTTTACCTTAGATATTACACTGCAGTCTTGCTTTTACGCAGTAAACTATCTCTCCCTACAATATGTATACTGGCATAATGCTGCGATACACTACTGCTGGTTTCAGTTAGAAAAAATATACTTCCGTCGTAAAACGTTTATAATAATTTATCAAACCCTCATCCATATTTTCCGCTGTGCAGCAAAAAATGATACAGGGGCAGTCTGCCCGAATATTGGTGTATTTTACTCGTTATTAAGGGTATGTTCTGAAGGCTAATAAGGAAGTCAACATAAACATTACGAGGATTTTTCGCTTTAATGAACTCTGGTCTTGTTGACATGGCCCAGTTTGTGCGGGCCTCCAACTCTTTGGTTCATTTGCTTTTATCAATTATGTACAACGGGTGGAAGCAGAACAGAGTCAATTGCTTGGAGCGCTTTCTGCCCACCTTATCCACATTAAAGTGTCAAAACCCTGCTTTTTGAAGTCTTTTCTCTATTCCTGAGCGTTAGTCGCAGCATCTAAATGCATCTTGATAACTGTTTCTCTTTTAGTTTCAGTATTTTGTACGGCAAATTAACTTATGTTCCTTTGTTCTCTACACTCAGTATGTACGAATTTCAAATGAAGACAAGCTGGAGGATATTTTAACCCTCATGTTGATGCACTGGAAGCTTATGGTGCCAGCCAAACCGGGTTTATGCATCTCTCTGACAGGTTCCAAGGACAATATTTTGGTCGAGGAACGTAAGAAGCACATTTTCCTCACGGTAAATGTAGTTAGTCATAAATGCGTTTAACGAACGTATACTGTTCCAAATAATGATTATGGGTACGCACTAACTACGGTTATTATTTGCGTGGACTGTGTTGTATCCCGAAAAGGCAGCAGACCAGAGCAGCACCGAAACGTATGTATGAAGAAAACTGTCTACGCACACGCGCAGTACCATTAAATCGATAAAGGTTCGAATTACAACCAATCAAATACAAGAGCACATGATTGGCCAAAGAGTGTTAAATAGAAGTGTGAGTAGGATAAGCGAATCGCGGGCAAAAACAAAGCAAATTATTTGAATACGAGATTGTTCCCTCCTTTGTTCGTAAAAATATAAGCACTACATGTCAACGCACGATCAAATGTAATGTCAATACCCCGAAGACTTGTCCTGCGGTGTTCCCCGTTAAAGCTTATTGATAGCCTAGGCGGATTGTCCGACCGGAACGTCATAAATTGGTATTAGTTTGTACCAAACGCTATGTTGTAGGTGTGTTCGCCTGTTCAATAGCACTTTGGAAAAGCGCTGTATGCAGCCGCCTTGCATTCACCTTTGTCCCATCGGCCAACCTGTAAGTTCCTGGTGTGTACGCAGATTCCACACGGATCAGGGTTCGAACACATTACCTCCTTTCCCGTAAAAGGGTAGTCTCACAAGAACAAATGTCCCTGGAGGAAACGTTCTCCCAACGCGTCTATATTTAACCTGGTAAACAGCCCCTCCTTCGTATTATGTGTGATCGGCGGTTTCTTCGGATTTAAAGGCTACATTTAACCGGGTTCGAATTGTTCGCCTTGGCAATAGCTCCGAGGGGGTCGTTGCCGTTGCAGTATATGAATTGGTTCTGTATACCACCAATGCAGATACCAACGCTTCATCCCAGGATTCTCCCGAAAGCCGAAGGACTTGTAGTGATTCTTTCATAGTGACATCAAGTCATTCGACGAGTCCATTCGCTGAAGGAGTATAAGATATAGTCCTCGTGTGTCTGATACCATTACGCCTTATGAATGCAGCCTACACCCTTCTTCGAAACCGTGGGTAGTTAACAGTGACTATTTCTCCTAGCAGATCGTACCTTGCAGACAAACAACGGAGCCACTTTATGATGACGGCTGTATTTACTTCCCCGCATAGAATAGCCTCTGTTCATTTGCTGTAGGAACATGTAGACACTAGCAAGTTGCGCTTCTGTGGGGGTGCACTGACGAACGGACCCATAATATCGATGGCGATTTTTGTCCTTGGCTTCACTGGTAACACCATAGGTTGAACCGGAAAACAAGCTCTTTCAGTATTTTGTAACATTGGATTTTACGGTTGGTTTAACCTTCGAAACGTCCACTTGTTTTACTGACTGCACTTTCGTTGACACAAACCGTTTTTGTGAGTACCTCGCTACACATTGCAAGCTCTGTCTGATTCGCCTCCTATTCTTGTAGCTTGCATAACATACATTGGGTTCAGTCGCCTCCGACTTCTATACTGTCGTAGTTGACACGTTTTACGTGTCATTGCTTACCGATTAGTATCCAAGGCTCCGCCCAACAAACGGAAGCATTCAGTGGCCACTTACTCTTATCGGATTGTTGACAAGGCTAACATTCTTGAACAACCGCTTCGACGCTGGAATACAACTTCGGCCGCCAATAGTATGGTTGTATCCGGGTTTTTTCCATTATCCCTGAATGACCTTCATGCGCGCACGCAACCACCAGAAGAAAAAGGGTTGCAGGGACTGTGATGGCAACTGAAAGCTGAGGCGGAGGGACTTGCCTGCCTCAGTGCGGTCGGTCAGGCGATCAAACGAGCAGGCGAGCGTGTTTTTAAATATACAGCTAGTTGTACTTACTGCTTCAAAACTGTGAACAGAACGCTAGTGTGCTGAGCCGGTGTGCCTTGTTTGTCTTGACGCGGCTGGGAATACCGAAGCAAAAACATGGTGACAAAGGTGCTGACATACCAAACCCCGCTCGCACGTGATGCAGAAACGTTGATTTCGTTGGCGCATCCTCTAGAAATGACAGAAAACACATTACTGGATAGCTGGAGGGCGTAGAAAACGAAATGGATGGATTTCGCTACGCTGATCGCGTTAGATGAGTATCCAGGATCGTATCAAATAGCGATGTTCAGGTACTGCATCGAGGAAGATGCGAGACAGATATTATAAGCCTGGCACTTCCGTGGTTATAATGAAGGAGTGGATCTTTCAGCAATAATCGAGTCGTTTGGTGATTATTGGGAGGGCTGCTTAAACCTTTTCGTTCACTGTTATCGATCGCCCAACGTCAGCTCACTTAATATGGAAAGTCGGCAAGTAAAGCAAGCGATTTCAATGCATAACAGGTAGGATCGCGAAGAGGTTGAAAGGATTACTGCGATACCGTCAATTCAAGAACGAGCAGTACCGTTAAAATTTGAGACAAACAGCCACCATGAGTACAATGTTCGAGTCACACTGCACTAGAGTACAGTTCCGTGCAACAGGGGGTAGTCAGAAAGGGTGGAATAACTTGTTGCTACATATGAAACGAAAGGCTGTGGCGATGATTTGCAAGAAGGCAATGAATCGACTTATCAAGGCAATAAACGCGCATGCAGCTTCTTATGTATTAGTAGTTGGAAAATTACTCCTAGAGAATTCGGCAACAATCCGGTACGGCTTCCATTCAGGTATAAAGCAAACCGAAAGCTCGCCCTCATTGGAAGTGGCTACCGAAACTGCAACATACGAACGACGAAAAAAAGAAAAAAGGACGGACATGATGGTGGCTAAAAGCTGAGGCGGAGGGACTCGCCTGCTCAGTGCGGTCGATCAGGCGGTCCATCGAGTGGGCGAGTAAGTTTTAAATATACAGCTAATTGTACTTCCTGACTCAGAATTGTGAATAGAATGCTATTGTGTTGAGTAGATACGTCTTGTTTCTTTTGACTTAGATGAGGAAACCCAGGCACAAAACAGGGACCACAAACTGCTCGCCGCTAATAATGCACTTGCTCGCATTAGAAAACTCGTCCCGTAAGGTGTAGTATTGAGGTAACTCAGCTTGGAGCTTGTTACGAATGGACTATGAAGTGGATATGTACTCCCAAAAGTTCGACAGGACAGTTTTTTCAGTTTGCTCTCGTATTAAGTCAAATGTTATTGTAGATGTTCCGTCTGAGCGCTGTGCTATCATTTTTACCTCCTCTAACTCCTCGTTTTCTCCTCCTTGGACAGTGGGATGCTCGACAGGGCATCTGCGAGTTGGTCAAAGCACCGTGGTAGGTATTTTATTGCACAAGCATAGTTTCATAAACGTGAGTAACAGTGACTCACGCCTACCGGCTTTTGGTCTTTGTTAGGGCGACGTAGTAACGTTGTAAGAGCAGAATAATCGGTGCGCAAAGAGAATTGACGTCTGAATAAGTAAAAGTGCCACCTCGCACACGCCCAAACACAAGCGAGAGCCTCCATCTCGCCAGTGGAATAATTTTATTTAGTATCAGACAAGGTAAGCGCTGCGTACGCAATCACTTTCTATTTGCCATAGTGCAGCTGGGACAGAACTGCGCCCAAACCAACATCTGAAGCATCCATTGAAATAAACCTTGAACATTGTTTATTGATGGTCGCTACCGCGGTAGTGGATTCAATCATCGCTCGTATGGTCATGTAAGCATTATTTTGTACAGCGGCCGAAAAAAAGCTCCTGGTTTTGGCGCGGCAACCTCCGAAAGGGCTCGTCACTAGTCGCAAAATTCAGCAAATGTCAAAGGTAATACGAATACAAACACAAGAAATGCTTCGTCTGCTTAACACCGCGTTGTTTTGGACAGTCGAGAGTGGCTCTGGTGTTCTGCACATTAGGCATAATGCTCGAGGTAGAAATAACATGTCCAATAAACGCGACCTTCGTTACAGCGAATTGGCATTTGTTGGTATTCAGGCGCTATCGCAATGAGGCTGAACCTTACCGTAGTGCGATGGTTTGTGTGCCTCACTGATCCATTGCGCTATGCTGGGTGGTGCTTTGACACCTTCAGAGTCACTCATACCAGATTGGTCAATGGTTAGAGGCCAGACAAATTCAGCCTCCTGGTCCTCCAGGTTGGGGGTTGGAATGAGGGTGGCACCTTATTCCTTAAAATGGACTCCTTGTAGCTCAACGCCAAACCCGCTGCCTTGGGGTCAAGTTTTTGAACCAAATGCTTTGGTTGAGAACCATAATCGTCCTACTGTCTATAGCTGGGCAACCTGACAGTATCCTGCCCACGCAATACAATGAATCTCTCTTCAAAGAAATTTCTTACGCTCTGGCCACCTCAGAGGATAATCAACCGTGCCCTATATGCTGCATAGAGCAGGGTAGATAGGGGTTTGGATGCTACTGCTCAAGCCCTCGCGTCTTCTTATGCCCCCACTTACGCTCTTTCACTCTTACCGTCCCCTTCCAACTTCATTTATATCCCCCCAGTTTTCAATCCCCAAATCCTTGGCCCTCCCCCAACATACTTTGCTAAGCGTTTATCTAATTTCAACTCACATGCTAACGCGGAGCGTCACTCCTCTCCTGTCGACAAGCCCATGTCCAACCAAGCGGTCCATTCCAGTTCATCGGCTTCCATTTGGAGCCCTCGATCCTCCTTCAGATTGGCATGCCTCAATGTACGCACATTGCTACAGAACGGTCAACAGGCAGCACTTGCCCGAACATTGGAAACTCTCTCGATCGTTATCTGCTGCTTATCGAAGACCCGCCTGCAAGACTCCAGCTCTGTGCTCACTTTGCGATTCCCTTCAGGTGAGGAAAGCAGTATTTTCTCATTGCGCCTATCCGGTGGCGATGCAGCTTCGAGCATCGGCTAAGCTGGTGTTGGCATTGCCCTGAGTCCCCGGGCTGAAGCTGCTCTGGTTGATTGGGTTCTAATCAGTAGCTGAATGTGTGCGGTTCGATTGGCTGGCTCGTTTAAAGCTTCGAAGTCGCGCGGGACTAATAAGTGCCTATTCATCATCGCTGCTTACGCGCCCACAAACCGTAGCGGTGATTCGGTAAAGAACGACTTCTACCGCCAACTGACCCAGCTCCTTCGCCACAGAAGAAGCACAGACACTGTTGTGCTGGCGGGAATCTGAACGCACAAGTTGGAAAGTTGTCCACTGATGCAATGCATCTGAGCGGTCAGCACAGTGTAGGATCCCATAATGATAACGGTGAGCGGTTACTTCATTTGTGTGAAGCTGCTTGCTTATTTCTTGCGAGCACTAATTTCCGACACAGCACTCGCCGGAGGGTGACTTGGCGCCCACCAGCCTCGAACCAACTTTGGACGCAACTCGATCACATTACGATAAGTTACCGATGGAGAGGTTGCATCCATAACTGTCACTCGATTTGGAACAAATGTATGGACACGGATCATGTACTTATATGTGTTGACATGCGGATGCGTTTTGGCGGACGCCCACGACGACTATGTGAGCTCATTGACACCAGTAAACTGACGAAGCCAGCTGTTCTGAATTCTTATCAAAGTACGTTGACATGCGAGCTGAGTAAGCGCGCCCTAGAGACAATTGAAGGTCACTGGTCACATGTTCACCAGACCACACTAGCAGCAGGCAAATCCTCATGGACACTGGGTCTCTTCGCAGCCTCTGGGAGTTATCAATGCTCGCCGGCATATCCCGGCTGGAAGCGAACACAATGAAATTCGCAAAGAGCTCCGGGCAAAACTCCTTGCTAGCCTGAAGAGCGACCGCGAATCTTCCTGTCTCAGAAATGGAAGGGGCCGCAACTCTTGGTAATCATCACAAGTTATTCCGTCTGATACGGGAAACGGGCAGCAGGAGACCTGATGTTATTAAAACTATACGTGACGAGAATGGACAGCCTATCCACAATTTGTCAAAGCGTTTGGAGCGTTGGGCTGAGCATTTTGAAAAACAATTTAATCGGCGAGAATTGTTTGATTCTTCGCCGGTCAGTGATCGCCCCGCTCCGTGGGCTGTCCCTTTGTATCCACCCTCTCGCTCAGAAATCAAGTGTGAGATCGGACTGTTGAAGCTAAACAAAGCCGCAGGACCAGATGACCTTCATCCAGCCCTCTTCAAATTCGGGAGTCTGCTCTTGTTGATACTTTACGCAAATTACTAGTGCAACTGCGAGAACAGGAGACTGTCCTAACCGACTGGAGGCGATCGGTTATTGTTCCCATCTTCAAAGGAGGCTGGCGATCGGAATGCAACAACCGTAGAGGAATCAGTCTGATCTCTATCGCCTCCAATTTACTCGCCTCCATAATCCTTCACAGACTGATTGGCGCTCCTGAAAGCCAGATTCGTGAGGATCAAGCCGGGTTTCGTCTGGGTCGTGGCTGCATCGACCACATCAGGTTAGTTACCTGATTCATATATCCTAAACAATTTAACACGAACATTAATGTCCTTAGGGGTCCACTTTGTAGCATATTGTACGTTAGCCTTTCGGAAGCCGTTAAATATATATTGTCAGTAAATGAGAATAACGAGGATTTGTTGGTTTGGCGCTGTAGTTCAAACTATCAGCTAATTTGAATAACCCTCATGAGAGTGTTAGGCTGTAGTTGAACAATATATATACCACGTGAGCGAATTTTTATCCTTTCTCTAAATCAAAGGTCAGTAGGGACATGCACCTTTGCAAACGCCACAGATCTAAGGTTACAGATGATTAACGGCATCTACGCTGTCTTATAAACGCCGCATAGTATCACAGCGTTGCTAGTTATTAACGGAAAACGATAAATTGAAAGCCATTGTCATCATGACTAGAGGAACCAACTGGATTTCAATACAGTGCCCTATTTACTGTCAAAAGATACGAAAAAATCGTTACCAAGTTTGTGTAATAAAATTACTCACGATTTCGTCTCTATCCAGACAATAATACATATATATATATATATATATATATATATTCTCATTTGGAAAATCGGCTTGGTCTTTGGAAAGCAGAAGTTAAAAGTGCTGACTCACGAAAGTGCAATTTGTGACATTTTTTTACCTTTTATCTACTCAACTTCTCTGGTACGACGTTGTCATTACAGGGTCTTATCCAAGCCACGCAAGCAACCAATGCCTGGATCCTGACATGTGGTCTCAATGCTGGAATCGTGAATTTAATTGATGAAGCATTGCACCATGGACAATTCCACAATTTCAACAGACAAACTGTATTCAACCCAATACGCTGCATCGGAATTGCACCTTGGGGCTGCGTGCCGAATCGAGATCAGCTACTCTGCAATGTAAAACGTAGTCCATTACCTCTTTTTATACTCATTGACATCTGTGGCTCGAAGTTATGTTATAGGTTGATTAACTTTGCACATGTAATGGTTTTTGAACTAGCCCTAGAGACTTGTTAGACGTACGAAATGGTCGAGCTGGTAATATCCTTCTTTTGGATGGTGATTCGTTGTCACAACTTTTCAACATCTATAGCACTACTGTTTTAACCCACGGGTAACCCACAGGCAATCTTAATCTAACAATTCCTTTAATTTTAATAATGATAATAATAATAATATGTATATTTCTCTTGATGAAAGAAACTATCTATAGCGGCAGAGATCAATTTGTACAGAAGTATTTATGCTCTTACATAATAATAATAATAATAATAATAATAATAATAGGTATATTTCTCAGAAAGGTGAGACACGTTCCAGAGACCCTGGACCGATCATTATGTACAAGTTTTCTCTGAAACTGAAATTGTTTATCGGATGCGAGGAGATTCGTATTGAGTGGGATTGATGACTTGCATAGGTAGATTATTCGGATGTACGTTTCATGTATTAACATTCTGGTGGTTGGTTGAGGCCAAAGCCTAATTATGCAAACGTTGGTGTTTAGATGCTTTTGGAGCCCTCTTGGAATGGCACATCGGGGGATCTTTCCCATGTGAATATATAGATTAAGTAGTTAAATCAAGGTAATTGGCGAGTCTACTTCTAAATGTTGCTACATTGTCACATGAGCTGAGTGTTATTGGTAGTTTATTTCACAGATAGCTATTTCTGACCAGGAGGAAATTAGAGCGGACGTTCATTTTAGCCTTCGGTATATTCACTGTAAAACTTTGGTGTGAAGCGCTCGAGTTAAGAAACGTGGTAAATTGTTTGTAGACAGGTCGGAATAGGTCTTTTGACTAGCAATTTGAAAAGTAGCAAGAATTTATGCTTCAATCGCCAAATCCAAAGTGGTTCGAGACGAATTTCATTACCACATTTTCGATAACTCATTACAGAGGGCTTATCAATTAGATGCTTACAACAGAAACGTAACTAATGTTACCATTTTATACTGACCATATTTAGTAGCATAATTTATGAAACAAAGTTAATGAATAATCCATGTTCTGGAAGTCGGTATAACCATCAATTGTCCGGCAATGGATTTAGCCAGCAAAAGTACCAAGGTATTGGGTGAGTACGTTTACTGAACCAAATGGTTGGCGATTTCTGGCTTCGGATTTGCTTGTCACTGTGACCAACCGGAGGACGCCTGCGCCTACAGAACGGCCATGGGTTGCTTACGCTGCATAACCCCAGCTCCGACCACACACCCATATTCAGTGTAAACCCGAAGGAATACGACCGAGAGGCAGGTGGATGGGAGCCACGTTTCATCAACGGAGCCGGCCCCCACTCCTTCACAGGCAAACACAAGCACGCTGTATTTGGGGAATCAAGCGCACACAAGGCGGTGGCTGGACCGTAGTCCGCTTCACACTGAGTGCATGGAACCACTCTTCGAGCCTAGCACGGCCACAAGGACCGTGCACCCCGTCCCCTCCAGCAACGACCAACTGTCTTCTGAAGCCAATATGAACGAGGTAGTGGGTAATAGACAGGTAGGCACCTTGTCAACATGCATATCAAGCGCAGCCATAACGGGGATATCAAACAACAGCCAATCACTCGAGAGAGAAAAATAAAAAAAGAGAAAAACTCTATTAATGCATAAGGAAACGGTGACATAAACCTTAATTTAATGAGCATATGTAATAAGTTGTTTACAAACAAATCCTAGATAAGTTCACGAGGTCAGAAAGTATAGTTCACGGAATGTCACGAACACAAATATGCTACGGAAATCGAATACAATTGGCTTAAGCGAGGTGTGCAAGTGAATGGAATAGAGTACACGTAGATATTTATACGAGAAATAAAAGCATTAAGGCAAAATTGTAAACCCACCACCTGAAATAAAGAGACTTAGCATGCAAGCACGCGGTTAGTAAATCGAATTCAACGGATGGGAGCCACGTTTCATCAACGGAGCCGGCCCCCACTCCTTCACAGGCAAACACAAGCACGCTGTATTTGGGGAATCAAGCGCACACAAGGCGGTGGCTGGACCGTAGTCCGCTCCACACTGAGTGCATGGAACCACTCTTCGAGCCTAGCACGGCCACAAGGACCGTGCACCCCGTCCTCTCCAACAACGACCAACTGTCTCCTGGAGCCAGATGGACGAGGTAGTGGGTAATAGACAGGTAGGCACCTTGTCAACATGCACAACAAGCGCAGCTACATCGGGGATATCAAACAGCAGTCAGTCACTTGAAAAGACAATAAAAATAAAATAAATCTAATAATGCATACAGATACGGTGACATAACTGTTCAAAAAATGAGCGGATGAAACAAATTGCTTACGAGCAAATTCGCAATAAGTACAAGATGTCAGAAAATATAATTTAAGAGAATGTCAAAAATGCGAAAATGTTATCGAAATTAACTACCATTAGCTTAGACGACGTGTGCAAGTTTATAGAAGCTGGTTCCGGCAAACATTGATATGAGTTAAGATAGCATTAGGAGAGCATAACCAACCTACTACCTGAAATAAAGAGACTCAGCATACATGCACGCGCTTAGTACGTGGAATGCAGCTTATCTACAAACGCCGCGCCGGTTCTGCCTACATTCTCTGCAGAACCGGTCGTCGTTTCGGTGGTGGCCCCGAGTGGCCTCGCTCATGGCACACTAGGCCTGCCTGACTCAGGCACTCGCGACCGCATGTGCTACAGCACCATGTGCTCGATGTCGACGGAGTACAATTCATCTGCGCTTGTCGCTTCCGCACGCGCCGCTTCTTCTCTACATGCATGAGGTCTATCTCCTGCACTTCGGCAGCTGCTTTCGTGAGCAGATCGCGCCATGCAAGCTGATCAACCGCTCTCGATTCCCATTACCTGCAATCAAGATTAGAACGTGAGAGGGTTACTTTGATTATGTCCTGATAATGAAGTCTCGGTTTCCCCGCATGCCGCTTCCCTATGCTCAGCTGACCATATAATAGTTGTTTCGGTATCCGCGTCCAATCCATACGGCTCACATGAGCAAGCCACCTCAAGTTTCTCAGCAAAAGTATGCAGTCTGATGCAAACCTTCCACTTCGGCGCAACACTTCCGTGTCCGCACCTGTGTCTCACCAACCGATGCGCAGAACCCGTCGCAAACACTGTTGATGGAGCCGCTAGAGCTATCGCACATCCCGCCGGTACACCATCCAAGTTTCACTGTCGTATACAGGAACGGACATCATCATGGATTTGTACACCATCAGCTTCGTGCCAACAGTAGGTTGATGAAAGTTCCATACTCCGTACACAAGTTTTTCAAATACCACAGCTGCCTTAGAGACGCGGATACGTAGCTCACTATGAAGCTGCTGGTCAGTCGCTGGTCAGTCACTCCCAAGGAAGCAGAAGCGGGAGGCAGTTTCCAATACTTCAGCACCAATGCTGATTCGCGGAAATATTGAGGATTGCACCTCCGGTGAAGGCTGAAAGAGACAGACAGTTTTACTTGTGTTGATGGTGAGCCCGAATTTGGCCGCTATCGAAGCCAGAGCACTAGTCATGTGCTGCAACTCATCCGCGCTGTGTGCAAACAACTCACAGTCGTCAGCAAACAGCAACGTACGGATAGTTGTCTCACAGACTAGAGTTCTCGCACCGAAACGACGGATGTTCAACAACCCACCATCAATACGGTGCTCCATACGAACACCGTAAGCATAAGCGGCATCAAAAGCACAAGACATCATTACCTGTATATATTAAACAGGGCAGGAGCTACGACACAGCTTTGCTTCACACCAGAGACAACTGCAAAGTCATCCGTGGTCTCTCCACATAGCTGCATCCTCGCTTGCATACCACTGTGCAGACATATAATTAAATTTAGAAAAATAGCAGGCAACCAAACTTACCCAACACCAGGCACAATGCCTCGCGGTTCACCGTATCAAATGCCTTGGTGAAATCAACAAAAAGCGAATACAAAGGCTGGTGTCGTTCTCTGAACTTCTCCTGCAACTGTCGAGCCGCAAACGCCATATCTATTGTGCTGTGACAAGAACGGAATCTACACTGCTCTTCCGCCACATTAGGTTCCACAACCTGACTGACGAGGCGGTTGAGCAGGATTCGGGCAAGCACCTTGCCCACACAACTCAGCATGTTGATGCCACGGTAATTCGTGCAACATTGCTTGCTTCAATTGCCCTTGTACAGGGCTAGCATAAGGGCATCCTTCAGCTCAGGAGGCACCTCTTCCTCAATCCATACGCGTTGCACAACGTGGTGCAGCGCAGTCAACAACGCGGGTCCGCCGTGTTTTAATACTTCAGGCGGGATCCCGTCGGCACCGGCACACTTGCGCTTTCGCAGCTGATCAAGTGCTCTCTTCGTCTAATCTAGTGTCGGCGTGTACGCCAGGCTCGCCTTCATATCGTTCAGCTTCAGGCCGTTCAAAAAAGGCCAGTCGATCCCTGAACGGTTGTTCAAGAGACAGTCAGTGTTTTTGCCAGCTCTGCGTTATGTCTGCAGTCTGTGTGCAGGTAGCGCCTGAGCTACCATCGAGCAACGTCCTCAGCTGCTCCAATCTCGGTCCTTACATCGCCTTCAAGGAGTCAGAGAATTCTTTGTGTTGGCGACCTTCAGCGTAGAAATCCATCAGGCTCGCCTTCTCAGTCCACCATGCACTTTTAATGCGCCTGAGCTCTCGTGTCAGTCGTCAACGAATTCTGTCCAACTCCCTTCTTCCCCAAGTCACTGGGGTCTGTCACATGTGCAGTAAATACTGCTTTCTTCTCGAACACCAATGCGTCAATCATCGCATTGTTCTCATCAAACCAATCAGACCGCTTACAGTTTGCGCACGTAATGGTTTTCTCGGTGGCAGCTATGTTTGAGCGCGAAAGTGGTGCCACAGATCGCCCACTGTGGCTATGCATTCCACATCACATAGTCGTACAGCCATCGCCTTCTCCAGCTCAGTACGTTTCGCTACAGTACCGATGGAGAGAACGTAAAGTTACGCCGATTCAGGGCGGGTTTGCAATACATAGATTTACCGAAAGATATGTACAGTTTGGTCCGCATCAATTTATGATCGGTGCCACACTCAGCTTCATGCAGTACACGTGTCATGCGCACTTTACGCATATCACGCTGACGTAGGATGACATAGTCGAGCAGCTGAGCGCGAAAACTCCCTGGGTGCATCCAGATTGTTAAATCAGTCGCACTCAGTGCAACCCGAGTGTGCTCGATCATCAGGCCTCGAGTGGCACACAGTGAGAGCAATCAGGCACAGTTTGTATTGCTTAAACCGATGCCATGCGGGCCGATAACATCTGTCCACCCCGATGCATCACGTTCAAAGCGCGCCTTGAAATCACCCAGCAGAAATAGTCGGTAAATCCTCGGTACAGACCGTATCACGGAGGATAGCTGAGTGTAGAATTGATCACGCGTGTCATCAGAATAACACATGGTCGGACCGTACGTGCTTATAGAGGTGGCAAATTTACCTCTACCGAGTCGTAGGCTAACGATCAGCAATCAAGCGCTGATGCCTGTTGGTTCACTCATCAGTTGGACATTTATGCGAGCAGATATTAGAGATCCGTCCTCATGCTCACATGGTGCTGAGGCGGCGTTGCCCACCCAGTAGAATGTGGAACCAACGCCTGCTTCTTGCAACTTACCTTGCTCAGCGATCCGAGTCTCACTGGCGCCTCAATATCGATGTGGCAGCGCGCAATTTCCATCGCGACCAGTGCAGTGCGTCGCTCTGGGTGCATACTCGACTTCCGGTCCAGTAGTATGCGCACGTTCCAGCACCCGATGTTGAGTGCTTTGCGCGCACACATACGATTGCATTGGTGGGCAACCACACGCGAAGTGGTCGTTGTGTTTCTGAGGTTTGCTTGAGGGACTCCATCGGAGCTTTGGCTCAATAGCTTAACCCACATGGCAGTAGGTGATTTGGTGGTTTGCTTGAGGGACTCCACCCGGAGCCTTTAGCTCGATAGCCTGACCCACAAGGCTTTGAGGAGCAGATGCAGCTCGGGGATATGATTACAGTGACAGTTTGGGATCTGCTTGAGGTCCGTCACACGCATCTTTTGAGGTATTGGAACGATTCGTATAAGTATTCCGACCGTAGTTGGATACGCGCTTGCCAACACGGCCTGACGCAGGTGGGTTTTGGCGGGATTACATCAATTCGCACAGGGGTTGTTTGGCTTGAGGCGGGCCGTAACAAACCATTGGACACCCGGAGGTGCCCTCTTACCGTCAAAGAAAATGCGTGGCGCTCGTGCTCTACGCCAATCTAGCAGTGAGATTATAACCCGTAGACCTGTTGTCTCCCATGGCTAGGTTTTACAGGAAGAGGGCCATGGGCCACTTCCTACCACCCGAAGAGAATGCGGTTTGGATTAGGCCATTGGCAGGGCGTCCACACCTGACAAGAGAAAGACTCGACTCCTCAGTCAAAGTCTCCAATTAAAGGTGCACCAGAAAGGCAACGATTCTAGCATATGGTCAGTTCACTGACACATGGGGATTGGGGTCCTGGATCAGCACGAAGAAGAGTGTGACGAAACTCCCACCCAGCAGTCGACACGAGGAGGCTTCCAGGACATGAGCAAATAACACAGCAGTAGCAGTAGTGGGTAGACCATCTGTCACGATCTAACCACCACTAGCATCAGCTCACCATAGGCTCTTCCGCCACTGAACCATATATAAAGTCACATTCATACATTCCTGCTTACCAAATATGGATATTTTGTTTAACCAGGCCAGGTGGCTGCGTTCAGCCTCCAGTGCTTCTGTAACGCTGCGTGTAATCCTTACGAGAGACAATTAGACGACGGAAGAAGTTGCCACATTCTTACTGAGTTAGAAAATTTCGTACACTTTGAACCGACGTTAGACCGCTTGCTAAAACTAGGCTGCTAGTAGCCCATGTAGGTGTTATATCCGTGTATTCAGAACTGCACTGCTCGTTCTCCTACGAACAGAGACCAAATGCCTTAGATCAACAAAAGTCTGACTGGTTGATCACTTACGGGATGCGACGAGGTTAGCTGAACCAAACCGCTTCAAATACAAAAGGAGTTTCCGAAAACGATGAACTACAATATTTTCAGCTGCTAGAAGAAATACGAACTGTACGCTAGCAGCTGCAATGTTCACCCGTTGACAACTTGGCTTCCCGGATAACCGGGTCTCAAAACCGATGGAAGATATTCCACACCATAAAAGACTGATGAACCTTGAGTGCTTGACACCAGTCGCAGTGTGTTGCAATAACGAATGCTATTGTAACGAGTAAACCATTCATGTGTTCTATCGGAAACGTGAACTTTTGTAATCACACTAATGCGCCAACCTTAACGATATCACTGATGATATGTGAGCGCGTACTTAGCATGACAAAACAAGAAATTACGTTCAGAAGGGCTCCTCATATTTCCTTTTTTTGGCTAGGCTGTCGGTTAGCACAGACTTTGCGGCTGACTTAATAATCCGATAGGAGGAGCAGGTGCAAACACCGACGATTATTAGAAGGCTCATTTAGAGGCAATCGTTGTGTTATTGGTTTCTGCCACTCAGTATCATTGTGGACCGTGATTTGTGTTGAAGTGAACCTTGATCCAATCAATCAACGAAACCCTAAGTGAAACAGATGGGTTCGAGTGTCTGCCATCTCTACTTGATGGAATCAAGCAGGTTCAAAATCTCTCCTGGTGCGATGGGAAACGCTCATTGGGAAACACACAATTTCCAACACACAATTAATCATTAACAAGCGAGCTGGCTTCATTGGACTATAATTCCTTATGGTGTTTACAAGGTTTGCAACAGACTAGATACACAATACTGTTTCTGTTTTTAGTCAACAAGATGCTATTTGATGAAACTGTGCAGTTTCAAATGTGCGCCCAGGCTATGCACACTTCGGATAGGGACTGGCCGAATATCCAACAGCCTGGCAGTAGCTACCTTTCTGTCTGTTTATGGAAGTTACTACAAAGCATCTTGTGTTTGGCATTTAAAATCAATGAAACTCGTTGCTTCCGTAGTTCCATGAACAGATGCAAACCAAGAACGATTGCTTGCCATTCATAACGCTATCAGCTTTCATAAACAAGAAGCGCAAGTTTTCTGAATGTTTTAAACCATTTTTGTTTTTAGAGTTACAAAGCTCCCGTCCGATACAACTTCACGACCATGAGCAGCGATGATCAACCAGTCTGGTTCCATCCCTTACATACTCACTGCATATTTGTGGATGATGGTCAAAGCAATCATTATGATCACACAGAAATCGCCAGCTTCCTATCGCGCTTATCTGAAAGGATGGCTACACCTGTACGAGGTAAGTTACCGATGAACAACGAACAATGAACAATGATTTATTACGGGATAAAAGCAAGTGCTTTGCACGTCCCGTAGGATGGTAGCGGTGAGTATGATGCAACTAAAATATGTCTGGGTCATCTATCGAACGTCTGTCGAGATGAATACTTTGATAACTAACATCAGTGTAAAATGGGAAAAAATTTATCGTGCGTAAACGTTCGGAAAAACACTGGGGTGCATTAATAGTTGAGGTAAAGAGGGAGAAAATAAAATATGGTCGTTCACTTAGGTCCATTTGATACATTAGTCCTGTTGAAAACATGTTTGGCGTAATCCACAATAGAGGAGCTTAGGTAACAAAATGTTGGGAGCTAAGAGCAACGTCTAATCGTTTTTTCAAAACATCCAGGGTAGGAGAGGATACAACTGAGTTTGGGAGTGCATTCCAGGATTTGCAAACCCGAAGAGAAAAGTAATTCCGTCAACACCCTAGACGGCTATATTGTTCCTTCAACTTTAAGCAGTTACCCCTGAGCTGCGCGTTGTGGCTAAGTTTCAGCAAATGCCGGCATACGTGGTTGGGGTCACTCAATATCTGATACGCTAATATGAGATCGCCGCGCAGCCTTCGATAACGTCGGCTGAAAATTCCCAGCAACTTCAGCCTTCGGTGATAAGAGTGATAGCGCAGACCCTGCACATTCTAAGTTGCTCTTCGTTGTGGTGCCTCTATCGCTTCTAGGTCACGCTTCAACCAAAGTTGCCAAGCTTGGATTGCGTACTCAACATGCGGGCGCACGTAGGAATTGTGCATCATTGGGAAGATTGATGGGTCAAATCTCCCAAAAGCCCTTCGCAGCATGCCGACGTGCTGGTTGCCTCTTTTCGCAGCTACCTCAGCCTGTTTTGAACAGTTGAGGTCGCTCTGTACGATCACACCAAGATCACGTTCCTGGCAGCTATTCTGCAATTCGTTTGTCCCAAGTATATAGGTGTAGTTATGTCTATGGCGTAAATGTACAACGCGACATTTGTCTACGTTGAACGGTAGGGCGTTTTGAACTGACCAGTTGGACACTGTGTTAAGATCGTGCTGGAGCCGTTCCTGGTCGTCCGGTCCTCTGATCCTTCGCCATATCTTGATATCATCAGCGAAAAATAGGAAATCGGAAGTAATTGATCTTGCCAAATCGTTAATGAACACCAAGAATAGACGAGGTCCAAGAACCGAGCCTTGTGGTACTCCACACTTCACATCGATTGCATGAGAAAATGATTCTCGGACTCTCACCACTAGCCGTCGTTCGCGTAGAAAATTGCTTATCCAACTCAGGATTGGATCGCCAATGCCGTAGTTCCGAAGCTTCTGCAGGAGAATTCGATGGTCTAAACGATCAAACGCTTTTGAAAAGTCCAGGTAGATGACATCGACTCCAACTCCATCATCAACAGGATCAAGTAGTAAGCATCTTAACCAAAATTATTTCAAGTTTTGTCGCTATGTCATTTTGACGTACCTATGATGACTCTAACCTGTCTTTTAGATCACAAACCTTATAGTATAATAGAACAACTGAACAATGGATTTGTCAATGGTAACAATGCGATTGGTTAACAACTCTCGTAAGTCAAGTGTCCATATAAAATGTAACGTGCGTCGGTAGACTTATCTTAGGTTGCACATGTGCACGCAGTTTCGTTACGTTATGCCTTGTCCCAATTACATGGATTTAACTCATCTTATGCAGGTAGTGGAATGCGTCATCTAGTTACCTTTTTAATTAGAATAATGTAAGAGCAGCGACGACAGAATTTGGGAAATGGTTCCATGACTGGGGGATACACGAAGGAAGAAAATTTTCCTGCGGCATTCCAACCAGCTATACTGTTCGGCCAAATTCAAATGGTGGTATCTCAGTATGAGGTTGTGGCTGACTTTTAATGAGTGTTGCCAGTCGGGGTTGGAATCCTTAAGGATCTGATACACTAACCGCATATTATCTCGAAGAAGACGAGCTCGTCTACTGAAAACTCCTAGGATCTTTTCAGTGAGTTCATTTAATTGTCGAAAGCCGAAGGGAAAAACCTTGTCAGCCCCATCGATTCTGTATCATTCTGGGTTATATGCGTGTCGGGGTGTTGCAACCTTCCTCCAGGATTCGTCGCAATTGCAGTGATAGTCGCAGGATTCCAGCATTCTCATCGAATGGTGGTCTAGCAGCTGCTTGAAACTTTATTCGGATGACGCGTCTGCAATTTCTTCCGGCAGGCTGTTCCAATCATTTACCACTCTGGTGAATAGGGTAGAATCCATGCGAATTCTGTGTTCGCTTTTTTTTAAACAGGTTCCATGTGTGACTTCATGTGGAACAGTCAATGTTGAGCCAAAAGATTCGTTGTAACTCACTTCCTAGTTCACCTCGGAGCATGGGCCTAGTGTAGATAAGATCATTTCAGCGGCGGCGGAACTCCAGAGAGAACGGATTTATCTGCTGGAGTCGACTAGGGTACAGGGGATCACGAAACACAAGAACAAGTTTCGAAGCACGCCTTTGAAACTTTTCCAGCAAAGCACATTCAAACTTTGAAAGAGGGTGGGTTGCTAATAAGCTATATGCTATAATTGGACAGACGTAGGAAGTGAACAAAAGTTGAACAATCTTAGGAGGCATTCGAACGAATGATCTTCTTAAGGTATCCACCAGCCTACTTCTAGCTGTTACCTTTTTGAATGTGTTGCGATGTTCTAAGGTCGGAAGACACAATAAGCCCGAGTTCTATTCCTTTGGAGTAATATTCCTGAGGAGAAACCCACCAATGTGGTATGCATCGTACAAATCAGTGCTACCCATTTGGAGCACGGCGCATTTAGCTCGGTTTGCTAACGGTTGCCACTTGATAAACCATTCGTATAGATGGTCCCGGGCCCCCTGTACTCTGTCCACATCCTCAAGGCTGAATACTTTTGACCATAGCTTGAGGTCATCGACATAGATCAGCAGATTGCTGATCGCAGTCGGCAGATCGTTGGTGGAGATGGCAGGCATCGAACCCGCGAGCATTAGAATAATAGCCGAAACTTCTACAGCTTTGGCTACCGGGTCATGTAGCCTTAGCTGGTGGAGAAGATCAAGCAAGAACTTAACATTTTAGTCGTTCTTTATTGTAGATTCTCACGAATGGCGAGGTACTATTTTCGTCAGCTGTACCAGACCTGCACTGCATATTCCAAATGTGGGCTCAAGTAGGCGTTGAGCATTCGCTTCAAGATGCTGGGACCAACCTGGCCCAAAGCACTATGCATGGAGCCATGTTGACACAATTTGATCTCCACATTTTCGGTCTGTTTTGAGCAACGAAACAGTCCTGTAAGCGCACCTCAAGATCACCCTCGTGGGGATTGCGCTGCAAAAGGCGCTCTCAGCCATTATTTGTAGGTATTCTGGTATCGTATGCTCAATACTCCATTGCGAACAATGCTAAAATCGAGTGTGTTAAGAGTTGAGCTCATAGAAACTCTGCTGAGGTCATCTTGAAGGGCCATGCAATGACCTACCGTCCTGATGGCACGTCAAATTCTGAGACCATTTTTCAAGTGTCATTACTTGGAGGTGATCTCAACGATGAGCTTTTTCATGATCATCAGAAACGGTCACGGTATCAGTACCGAGTCTTATGGGACACCACAAGGAACCGCTATTGGGTCAGACCAAGCACTACGAACCCTCAGATTCACATTGCGTTGCAGTAGAGTTTCATGTATCCAATCCATGACAAATTCATCAAACTAATTACATTTAAACCTTTAAAGTATACTAAGTTGACCTGTACAATGAAGGGTCTTCCATAGATTAAGTTATATATATATATATATATATATATATATGCAAAAGTCTACGAATAAACATAATGCCATCAGAAACTATGGGATTCAAACGAAGGTACAGAAATAGTAAAATAAAGCACAACACAAAATGTCCATGGTTTCCTCAGAGGGCGAGATACTACCCGGTTGCCCAAGCCAAAGTAGGGTGTTGACTTAAGAAACACCACCCAAAGCCTTTGGCTGAATAGCCTGTCCGCAAGGCAGCGGAGCGAATTCAGGGAATCGCGCTCATTGGGAGCCGGTGACTGATTGCTCAGTTCATACCCCTTACGTTTGTTCCTTTGTCAAACAGGGGCCCAATGCTCCCCAGAAGTACGGCATGACGTTGCTGGAATACAATGCTTTGCCAGGATGAAGCAAGGGGCAGTGACTATTTAGTGGCGAGTCACGTCCGCCACATCACAGTGTTGTTAGACGGATTTTTATAGGGAGAACGCTTGCCAAGCGAAAACCCACCACGTCCTGGAACACTGCCGTTCTAACCATTTGCTGGAACGGGAAAATCCCGAACCGCCCAGATGGCACCACGAGGAGGTTGTTCGGCAAGCCAGCCGATAGATTAAGTTAGATAGCATCATCTACTTCCGCAGCATCGGCACATTCTGCCAAGTTGGTACGGACTAACAATAGGTTCGTGGTGCATAAGCGGTTTCGACGGTAGCTATGCTACTCCCGCTCGATGATACTGTATCTCTCCAAATACCGCGTAAGCGATTCTTCAGTGACACTTTAGACGACTTTCTAAAAAATACCGGTAAAAATGTATTGGGCAGTAATTTGCGGGTTCAGTACCATCCCTGCCTCTTATATCGGGATAAATATTTCATGATTCTACAATGTAGGGCCTGTATGTCGTCGGAAGTGTCCAGACAAGGGCTCAGCTAAGATCCTGGCATTTACGTTCAATGATTTTAGGCGTAAGTTATCCGCACCAGGAAAATTGTTCTTGCTCAATTACAACGGTCATTTCAGCTCATCGGCGGCAATGAAGAAAATGTGGCCAAGGATCAGTGATCTGTTTTGGCGATATGATGGGCGTACGTGTGACACTGCTGATGCCCCGTACGATCGCATCATTTGTAGCCATTGTAGTTGCTCCAGCTTTATATGCAGCGGCAATGGACTTGTATGTCCCCACGCCTTTAGCGTCAGTCAGTAT